TAGACCTCAACCAAAAGTGAGGTCAACAGTGAGGCATCGAGCTTCCTTTCCTGAAGGAACGCACATCTTCGGGATTGTTATATAACCCACTTGAATGGGACACAACATCCAATTCTCTACTCTCAATCTTCGAGAAAGGTATAAGACTCCTTGAATGGAGCACAACATCATATTCTCAACCTTTCGAGATTGGTATAAAACCCCCTTGAATGGGAAACAACATCCAATTCTCTACACACTTCTCGAACCCCTTGAATGGGGCACGATATCCAATTCTCTACTCTCAAGCTTCGAGATAGGTGTAATACTTCCTTGAACGAAACACAACATTGATAGGTGTAAGACTTACTTGAACCAAACACAACATCCTATTCTCAACCTTTCAAGATTGGTATAAGACTCCCTTGAATGAAATACAACATCATATTCTCAACCTTTCGAGATTGGTATGACACCCCCCTTGAATGGGACAAGACATCCAATTTTCTTCACACATCATCAAGATTGTTGTAAGACCAAATGGGACACGACATCCAATTCACTATACACATCTTTGAGATTTGTAAAAGACCCCCTTGAGTGGGACACAACATCCAATTCTCTACACACATATAGGCCTTGAATGGAACACGACATCCTACTCTCAATCTTTGAGGTCGGTACCTAAATTTTTATTCTCCTTTTTGGGATTGATACCTAAATTTTAATTCTCATTTCGAGGTCAATACCTAAATTTTGATTCCTTTCTTTTCAGGTTGGTACCTAAATTCCAACTCTCCTTTCCAGGATTGATACCTAAATTACAATTTCCATCTCGAGGTCAGAACCTAAATACTAATTCCCATCCTCTGAAAGTATTTGAAACTTGATAATTTCAAACCCACTCTCCAGTCCCCAGCAAGAGTTCCTACTCCTTAATTTCAATTAGATATGCACTTGCTATTTCCCCAGCGGGAACAACTATAACTCAAATTCTACACTCCTTCTATGTCTGTTGACTTAGGAGTCTGTATTGGTTTTTTTGATATTGTTGGTCAACGCCAATACGCATGGTGTGTTTGCCCAACACACCACACCTCATGGGGTCCATTTGTTGACCTCACTTTTGATTGAGGTTTAGCTCTCCCTTTTTAGTAGCTTAGGGTCTAGACATAGGCAGAGCTTTGCTCGTGGATAAAGACAAAAACCCAAAGGTTCACCTTCCACCTCACATTTTTCATTAGAAACTCTAAGCTCTTCCTTGTTTTTTTTTTTTTTTTCTTTGCCCTCCCGTTGAAATTTCACACTGGTGTATGCAGTGGGAACCTTCCAGATTGGAATTAATAAATGATGAGATGGTTGATCGTCATTTCTCCAGAGTGGATGAAGAAGGATGGGAAGACCTGAAGCTTCCCAGTCACTCACAACCCTAAACCCAAGCTTGTTGATTTTGATCTCTTGATCTTTTGAGAGACTCGAGTTGATGGTCCCCTAGACCCACTAGCCCTAAACTAGGGTTTAGCTAAGAACAGTACTTAGAGGACACAAATGAGGATTTCATTGTTCCATAACTCATATAGGGTGGTTGGCACCCCAATTCTACCAAAATGTCCAACTTGGCCTTTTGCCCTTAAATCCACCTTTGCCCTCTTGGCCTTTTGCCCTTAAATCCACCCAAATTACCTAAATGCCATTGAAACCCTAAATTTGGTCAAAATCCTCAAATGCACCCAAAATACCCAAATTTGTTCAAAAATCTTTTCAAACCATTTTAAAATACCGAAATTGCCCAAAACCACCCAAAATTCCCAAAATTACCAAAATACCTCCAAATTTGCCAAAATTATAAAAATACCCTTGGCTCCTCAAACTTTCCAAAAACTTCCAAAATCACTTCAAATGTCGCCAAAACCAATTTGTACCCTTGAATTGAACCTAATTTGACCATTTGACTAAAACCCCCAACTTGCTTTAAAGGTCCAATTTCCCCAAATTCACCTCAAATGTCCATCAATTTGGACCCAATTCCCCTCAATTTCAATTCTAAACTCAAATTAATCTTTTGTTTTATCAATACAAACTAAATCCAAGCCTAATTGGACCATGCTTTGTGCTCAATTTTGATCTAAGTCAAACCCCCAATTTTAGCCTTATAACTTAATCTCACTTAATTGAACCTCATAGCCTACTCAATTTGCCCCAATTTGAATCCTAAACTCTTCATAACACTCTTATATAGAAATTTTAATTTTCAATTAGCCTTGGTGAGGCCTCAATTTTATTTAATTTTAACCTAAATTCAAAATCCCCAAATTTTCCCCAAATTGGCTGTCTCCAAATTCCTCAAAATTGAATGCCCTAACCCTAAAATACCCAATTTATGTTGGAAATTATTTATGATATTCCTATAGACCATTATCAACCATCAATTTGGGCTTAGCCAAACTTTTGCCCAACCTAGATCCAAGTCTAGTCCAACATGCCTAAATTGACCAAAATCCCAAAATCCTTCAAATTGAGCTTCCAATTGAACTTAAAATTACTTCAATCCTTACAAAAAATCTTCATGACAATCATTTACATAATTTTGATCAATCAATTAAGCTTGGACTACTAGAAACTTTCTATTTTTGAATTCCAAGGCCTCCAATTCCAGAAATACTTCCAGGCATGGAGTTTTCAATAGAAGAAAGTTTATCAATTTTGACGTGCAAATATTATATGAAAAAGGTATTGTAACGAAGAGGCTTATCAATGAGAGAGGCTTTGTCAATGACGGATTGATTAATCCAAGTTCTCCGATTGATAAAATCATTGTATAAAGGCGATGGGAAGTTCTATGTACACTACTGCTACATTTGTTGTACCAGTAGTGAAGGAATTCTATACAAACTTACATGAAATTACCCAAGGAGCTGTCTTCGTACGAGGTAAGGCCGTACCATTTACTCCTGCGTGAATCAATGAGTTGTATATGATAGAAAACGTTCCAATCTGTCATTATACAAATTTCATCCCTACGAGAGATTTAATGCAATATGCCTATAATTTTTTGATGGATGAAAGTGATATTTGGGAAATGCGAGATGAAGTATATGTTAGTTTCTCAGCTTCATTGCTTAATCCAATATCAAAGCAGTGACATGTCTTCATTTCTACAAAATTACTCCCTACCATGAAAATTAGTAGTCACCAAAGAAAGTGCTATTTTGAATTATTGCATTCAAATAAAAAAACCCATTGATATAGGATCTATCATATTTAAATCAGTTATGGGTATTATTATGAATGGACCAATTTATGAACTTGGGAATCCTTCCACAATTTTCTTACTTTGCAGTCAATCTCATGTTCCATATGAAAGTTACAAAAAAGTTTTATTATCTTGGGAGCCCATGATTCCTTTTGATGATAGTTATGTTGGGAATGGGAATGAAGCATTAGATACTATCTTAGATCACTCATCACATGCTTCAACCCCATTGATGCCACTAACAGTTGGAAGTTCACTTGCCGTGGATAAGAAATTGAAGAAAATTGAAAGAGAACTTCAAAGTATTACAAATTCAATAGGAGATCTTAAGTACCTTTTTAATCAACTAGATTTGAGGATGAAAGAAAATTTTGATCATACTGGAACATTTGAAACAGGATTAGTGCTGATGTTTAAAGAAAAAGGATGGATCGAAGAAAATTTGACTGATCAATTCCTGTACCAACCCTTCTACAATTTGTACGTTCATTACCAGCCGATGGGAGATATCAGACGAGGAGAAAACACTGAAGATGAGA